CAAGACAAGTGTAACTACGAATGTTTCTATGAATATGCACCTAGATTAAAACAGTGCACTGAGCTTTATCATGAAACTAAAAAGAAGTAAATAGAACACAAATAATTGCTTAGGAGGGAAAACAAAAAATTTTAAACATCAATCTCCCCCCCAAATACAGGTTTAACACAATTCAAATTCCAGTCCTAACATTCCTGCATGATTCTTTGAAACTTAGCAAGTTCTTCTAAAGCTCATCTAGAAGAAAAATGTATAAGAACCAACTAGAAAATGTTTGAAACAAGAGAGAAGAGGGTAACTTGCCATCAAAAAACTTGTAGATGAATGCACGTAGCATTATTGTTCATAACAGGCAGAAGGTAGAAACAAATGTCCATCAACAGGTGAATGGATAAGAAAATGTGGCACATTCGTACAATGGAATAGTATTCAGCCATGAAAAGGAAGGAAGTAGTGATAAGAGCTACAGCTTGGACGAGACCTCACAAACATTATGTGAAGTGAAAGAAGTCAGACACAAAAGATCGCATATTGTATGATTCCTTTTTTATGATATATTCAGGATAGATGAGTCCATAGACACACAGATTAGAATTGGGGGGAAGGGAAAAATGGCGTGTAATTACTTTAGAGGTGTAGGGTGTTTCAATAAAGATTAAAAATAAATTGAAACTAAAAAATATGGCAGTTGCCTAACATTGTGAATACACTAAATACTACTTAACACGGAATGTTAAAGTGACTAATTATAATTAGTAACATGATTAAACAATGGCAAGAGGACCTAAAGAGGCATTTTTGGAAAGAAGACATATAGATGGCCAGCCGACACACAAAAAAGATGTTCAACATCACTAATCGTTGTGGAAACGTAAATCAAGAATCATGCACAACATGTATCACCTCACAGAATGGCTAGAATCAAAAGACAAGAAATAACATGGGTTGGCAAGGATGTGAAGAAAAAGGAAGCCTCACGTATTGTTGGTGTGAATGCAAACTAGTGCAGCCGCTATGGAAAACAGGGTTTTCCCTCAACAGGTTTTTGAGGGTTCTTCAAATATTAAAAAAATAGAATTATTATATTATCAAGTAATCCCACTACTGGGTATTTACCCAAAGAAAATGAGAACACTAAATTGAAAACATATATGCTCCCCTATGTTTACTGTAGCATTGTTGACAATAGCTAAGATATGGAAGCAACCCAAGAACCTAAGTGTCCATCTTGAGATGAATGAATAATATATATATATATGTATATACATATATATGTGTGTGTATGTGTGGTGTGTACATATATGTGTGTGGAGGTATATAGATATATAGACATAATAGAATATTACTGGAATATTACTCGGCCATAAAGAAGAATGAGATCTTGACATTTGCACCAACATGGATGGACTCTAGAGGATATAATGCTAAGTGAATAAATCAGGTGGGGAAAGACAAATACTGTATGATTTCACTCATACGTGGAATTTAAGAAACAAAACCAATGAATAAAGAAAAAGGAGACAAATTCTTTCTTTAATGTTCATTTATTTTTGAGAGAGAGAGAGAAAACGCTAGCTGGGGAGGGGCAGAGAGAGAGGGAAACAGAAGATCCAAAGCAGGCTCTATGCTGACAGCAGAGAGCCTGACGTGGGGCTCGAACTCACGAACAGTGAGATCATGACCTGAGCCGAAGTCAGACGCTTAACCGACCGAGCCTCCCAGGTGCCCCAATGTTTATTCATTTTTGAGAGAGATTGCATGAGGGGAGGAGAAGCAGGGCAGCGGGGGGGGGGGGGCACAGTTTCTAAAACAGGCCCTATCCTGACAGCAGCAAGCCCAATGAGGGGCTTGAAGTGAGATCATGACCTGAGTCTAAGTCGGACATTCAACCAACTGAGCTACCCAGGCACATGGCCAATTTAATTAGCAGAGACGAAAACTGAGAAATGTTAATAATGGTATGGACACACAACTATCAGAATTGTGCAGGGGATCTGTTAATAAAAGGAAAAAAGATGTAATGGACACTAGAGGATAGAAGTAGTCTTTAAAAATTTTTTTAAATTTTTATTTATTTTTGAGAAAGAGAGAGAGACAGAGTGCGAGCAGGGGAGGAGAAGAGAGAGAGGGAGACACAGAATCCAAAGCAGCTCCAGGCTCCCGGCTGTGAGCACCAGAGCCTGACACAGGGCTCGAGCCCACCAACCATGAGATCATGACCTGAGTCGAAGTCAGACGCTCAGCCGACTGAGCCACCCAGGGACTCCAAAGCAGTTTTTAACATAGCATGCACACAACATTTCTAAGGAAAAGAATTTTAAAAATACAAAGAAAGTATATAACTTCCAACAGGTAGAGAGAAAACATGGCATGAGAGAAAATATCCATCAGTCTAATTGAAATCCAGAAAGGAAAAGGAAATTAACATTCAAGGGTTGGGACACATGAAAAGCACAAAATAAGATGGTTAAAAAAATACATCCGAATATATCAGTCATTATAATTGATAAAATGACAAAAAATCCCTCCCTAGTTTAAAAGATTGAGAAAAAGTAAAAAAAAAAAAAATTATGTAGTTAAATGTTGTTTAAAGAAGAAATAGAACATAAAAATTCTGAAAAGGTGAAGTTAAAGGATGAAGCAAACTGGTGTAGCCACTCTGGAAAGCACTGTGGAGGTTCCTCTGAAAGTTAAAAACAGAACTACCTATGATACAGCAATTGCACTACTAGGTAATTACCCAAAGAATACAAAAATACTAATTTGAAGGGGCACATGCACCCTGATGTTTATAGCAGCACTACTGATAATAGCCAAATCGTGGAAACAGCCCAAGTGTCCATCGACTGATGAGTGGATAAAGAAGATGTGGCATATATATATATATATATATATATATATATATATATATATAATGGAATATTACTTGGCCATTAAAAAGAAGAAAATCCTGCAACAATGTGAATGTAGCTAGAGGGTACTATGCTAAGTGAAATAAGTCAGTCAGAGAAAGAAAAATACCATACGATTTCACTTTTATATGGGATTAAAAAAAACAGAACAAACTATCATGGGCGGGGGAAGAAAAAGGAAAACCAAGAAACAGACTCTTAACTACAGAGAACACATTGGTCATTGCCAGAGAGGAGGTGGGGGGGGGGGTTGGGGGAAACAGGTTATGGGGATTAAGGAGTACACTTGTGATGAGCACTGGGTGATGTATGGAGGTGTTGAATCACTTTGTTATATACCCAAAGCTAATATTATGCTGTTACCTAACAAATTAAAATAAAAACTTTTTTTAAAAGGAAGCTTTATTCAGTCAGGCAGCCAACAAATATTAGTATTCATTAGATTCATCTAAATTTTCAGATACATATTCCAAAATCAGTAAACATTTTTTAGAAAGAATTAACGAAGGGGCACCTGGGTGGCTCAGTCGGTTAAGTGTCCGACTTTGGCTCAGGTCATGATCTGCGGTTTGTGAGTTCGAGCCCTGCGTTCAACCCTGTGCTTACAGCTCGGAGCCTGGAACCTGCTTCGGATTCTGTGTCTCCCCCTCTCTCTGCCCCTCCCATGCTCATGCTCTGTCTCTCTCTGTCTCTCAATAATAAATAAATGTTAAAAACTTTTTAAAAAGAATTAGTGAAGTACTAAACAATAGGAAGCAAATTGACCTATATTAATAGCAAGCAGCTTAAGGTGAATTTAAGGCAACAGCACTAATGGAAATAAAACTGAGTTTCAGGGTACCTGGGTGACTCAGCTGGTTAAGTGTCCAACTCTTGATCTCAGCTCAGGTCTTGATCTCAGAGTCATGAGTTCAAGCCCCACATTGGACTCTAAAGCCTACTTTAAAAATAAATAAAATTTAAGGGGGCACCTGTATGGCTCAGTCGATCAATTCCAACTCATGTCTCAGGTCTTGATCTCATAGTTGTGGGTTCAAGACCCATGTTGAGCTCTGCGCTGGGCACGAAACCTACTTAAAAAAAAATCTGACAGTTACAAAATATACAAAATATCAAAGGTTGAATTCACAGAAAAGATATTTAAAATATCAACTAGTATGAACCCAACAATTTAACTTCAAAGTGTATTCGATAGAGAATATTGAAGGAACTATGAGGAGAATCGTCAAAACCAGGCTACCCTGTCAGTAACTGATAGGTCAAGTGAAGAAAACTCAGTGAAGAAGCACCTGGGTGGCTCAGACGGTTAAGAGTCTGAATTCAGCTCAGGTCATGATCTCGCGGTTCGTGGGTTTGAGCCCCATGTCGGGCTCTGTGCTCAAAGCTCAGATCCTGGAGACTGCTCCAGATTCTGTCTCCCTCTCTCTCTGCCTGTTCCCCACTAGCATTCTGTCTCTCTCTCTCTCTCTCTCTCTCAAAAATAAATAAACATTAAAAAAAAAAACCAATGAAGACTGAAGGTTTTGATCAACACAATTAAGATACTTAATTAATGGACTTGGAGAAAATTTCACTATTTAGTAAAAAAGCCAAGTGACTGAAGAATAATGGAGTACCATAACACACACATAATTACAGGAAGTTGAAAAATTTGCAAAACCAACAAAACCATTATTTGGGAAATCAACATCTATGGTAAACCTATAAAAAGAAACAAATAAGTTGAAAGAACGTTTTTATTTTAGGTTTTTTTTTATTAAAAAATTTTTTTTAATGTTTATTTTTGACAGAGAGAGAGACAGAGAGACAGAGCATGAGTGGGGGAGGGGCAGAGAGAGAGGGAGACAGAATCCAAAGGAGGCTCCAGGCTCTGAGCTGGCAGCACAGAGCCTGACGCAGGGCTTGAACTCACGGACCGCGAGATCATGACCTGAGCCGAAGTCGGACGTTCAACCGACTGAGCCACCCGGGCGCCCCTATTTTAGGTTGTATCTACCTACTGCCTATAATGAAAGATGGGGATAATGTGTACCTGTCCACTTCTTCTGACTTCCTTTCTTTTCTCTTGTGTTTTCAAGGTTCCAAACATTAATGTTGTATTCTGTAAATACATGTGTGAGAATGACTGGATCCCTGTCCTGGACAGCAGTTGGCTTCACCCAGTTTCAACAAGATGAATATTCCAAGACTGGCCTCGGGTGGCTCCTGCTCATACTTCCATAAGGATATTAAGGTGATCAGCAAGATGTCAACAAGAGGGTCGCTACTAGTAGGTTTCTAGACTCCTGCTCTGGAGAGTGCCTCTTTCTACTCCCTGGGCAAGGAAACTAAGGAAAGTCTCACCTCCAAAAGTCTGTGAACAATTTGAAAGGAGAAGTTTGGGTAAGACGAGCTCTTCTGGCATGGACGTGGTACAAATTTACTAGTTTGAATAATAGCACAGATATATAAAGAATATGGTTCACACTGCTCGGTTGCCCCAATCCCAAGTGGCTTTGAATCTACTGACAGCTGAGAGCTCTGTGGCTCTTGAAATCTAAGAAAACTGCCTGTCTCAGGATGGGGCACTGCTTATTAATTTCCCACCTGATAGTGAGAGATTTCTGTGTGTCCTTAAAAAACCCAAAAAACCCACTGTAATTCCTTTTTCTAAACCATACAGATAAACTGTGTATTCGTGAAAATCTAACATGAAAAGTCCCTTTGTCATGGACAGTCTCACCTTTCCAAAATCCAAAAGTCATTTTTAAAAATCTGATAAATTCTACCACAGAAAGTATGTATAAACACCATAAACAAAGTCAAAAGAAAAATGTCAAAACAGGGGAGATATGTACAATTTGTATCAAAGATAAAAGCCTCTTCTTCCCCCATGAAATGATGGACAGAGGAGGTGCACAGATTGTTCACAGAAAAAGACACAGAAATGGTCCCTAAACACAAAAAAATGCACAAAACAGGATAACCAAACAGAAGGAAAAAGCAGATAAGAGGTACCATTTTTTACCAATTAGACAAGCAAAATCCAGCACTTTGATAACACATTCTGTTGATTAGCTGCGAGTAAACAGGCTCCAACATACAATAAGGGAGTCAGAAATGGTATTACTCCTTGGGAGAAAAATTTCAGCCTAGGTAATGCTGACTCAGAAATTTTACTTCTGGGAATTTATTCCATACACATTTTTTTTTGTTGTTGTTACAGCAAAAAATAGCAAAAGCCCAAGTCTTATCAAATGTTTGCTCAGTGCTGTCCAACAAAAATGTGAGTCAGTTTGTAATTTTTAGTATTCCGGTGTCTACCTTAAAAAAAAAAATAATCAGGTATACTTTATTTTAATAACATATTAGCCCAATAGAGACAAAAGATTTTCACTTCGACATGTAATCAATATAAAAAACTATCAATGAGATATTTTACATGACTTTTTTTCATACTAAGTTCTCCAAAGCCAATGTCTATTACACGCAACAGACATCTCAATCCAGGCTAGCAAGACCTCAGGCATTGAACGGCCACATGTGGCCAGGGGCAGCCCAGTTAAATGGTTAAGTGAATTATTAAATAAATTATTAATCTTAGACTGAGTTCCCCAGAGAGTGAAACCTGCTGCAAAAATGTGAAGTGAGGCCAAGAAGACACATTCCAAATGAAGGAGCTTAATGAAACCAGCACCACTCGGTGTCAAGAGTGTTTTCTGGGTGCTGGATCCTATAATGCCCATACAATCCTGTAATTCAACTATGATGCCTGCATCTCAGGTCAGTTCCAGGGGATAAGTGAAGGAGGAAGTAAGAATCTATCTGTAGACTCCTGTCGCCCACTGGGCAAAGGTTCATGCCACGGGGTTTAATTCCAGGCATTTATAGGCTGTGCATTCCTGGGCACCCACCTCTCCTGCAGCATCCCAGTCCCAGCTAACCTGGAGGACTGGGGCAGGAAACATCAGAGAGGGTGGTAGGAGAGGCATCTCTAGGTTGCACACTCATGAATTTGATTGTATGACAACTAATTATCAAAACAGTGAGCCTGGAAAAAGTGGATAATGGTCCCAGAGACAAATGTGGCTCAGAGGATCCGGAGTGATTCATAAGACGTGTCTGAGGTGCACACTGAACATTCTCTAAGATAGATCACCTACCTCATGGTAGGTCACGAAACAAGTCTCACCAAATTTAAGATTATAATCATTCCATACTTCCCAAAGTAATCTACAGATTCAATGCAATCCCCACTGAAATCCTGATGGTGCTTTTTATAGAAGTGGTAAAAACAATCCTAAAATTTATTTTGAACCACAAAACCCTAAAGAGCCAAAGAAATTTTGAGCAAGAAAAACAAAGCTGGAGGCATCACACTCTGATTTCAAAACATATTACAAAGCTAAAGTAATAAAACAGTATGGTAGTGGCATTAAAAATAGACATAGACACTAATAGAGGAAAATAGCAACCCCGGTAATAATCCCACACATATATGGTCAACCGATATTCAACAAGGATGCAAAAGGTACACAGTGGGCAAAGGACAGTCTCTTCAATAACTTGTGTTAGGAAAATCAGATATTCACATACAAAAGAATGAAGCTGAACCCTTTTGTCTCACCACATATGAAAATCAACACAAAATGGAGGTAAAACTTGAAACAGTAAAACTCCTGGAAGAAAACATAGGGAAAGAGCTTGCAGGCCTTGGACTGGAGAATGATTTCTTAGACATGACACAAAAAGCACAGGAAACAGAATGAAAAATAAACAAGGGACTACATCAAACTAGAAAGTCTCTGCACAACAAAGAAAATAATTAACAAAATAAAAAGGCAACCTATGGAATGGAGAAAACATTTGCAGACCATACATCTGATAAGGGGTTAATTATCCAAACTGTGTAAGAAACTCTTACAACTCAAGAGCAAAGAACCCAAATAGCCAGATTAAAAGAGGGGCAAAGGAACTGAACAGATATTTCTCCAAAGAAGATATATGAAGGCCCAACAGAATATGAAAAGGTGCTCAGCATCACTAATCAATAGGGAAATGCAAATCAAAACTGCAATGAGAGATCACCTCACACATATTAGAATAACAATTATTAAAGAAATAAAAAGACAAGTGTTGGCGGGGGTGTGGAGGAAAAGAAACCCTTTGTGAAATGTTGGTGGGAGTGTAAATTGGTACAGCTACTAGGGAAAGCAATTCAAAGATTATTTTCCCGAAAACTTTTGAAATAGAATTACCAGTTGCTATAACAATCCCAATTCTGGATATATTCTGAAATCAGAAATCTGTACTGAACTGAAATCTGAATCTTAAAGAGATAGCTGCACTCCCTGGGTCACTGCAGCATTATTCATAATAGCCAAGACATGGAAATAATCTAAAATGTTCAATGATAGAGGAATGGATTTTTTAAATGTGGTATGTACCTACAATGAGATGTCATTCAGCCTTAAAAAAAGAAGGAAATCCTACACTTGCAACAGTATCGCTGGACCTGGAAGACATTATGCTAAATGAAATGAACAATAGAAAGATAAATACTGCATGATCTCACTTATATGAAAAATTGAAAAGAGTCAAACTAATAGAAGCAGAGAGTAGAGGGGAGGCGATAATCAAAGGGTAGAAAGTTTCAGTATGCAAGATAAATAAGTTCTGGAGATCTACTATATGGCATAGGGTCTATGATGAACAATTCTGTTTTGTATACCTAAAAATTTACTGAGAGGGTAGATCTTATGTGAAGTGCTTTTACCACAAAAATAAAAACAAAAGTAAACATAAAAACATACAAAAACCAAAGGGTCAGGAAGAAACTTTTGGAGGTGACGGATAAATCTATGGCATTCACTGTGGTGATGATTTCACAGGTGTACCCTTGTCTCACGGCTACAAGTAATCTTTGTATTTCCAAATTGTCATACAACGGAAGGTTGGAAAGACTGAAAAAAACTAACACAAGTGATTTTTCTAAATGAATCAGGATAGGATTGATGGAGAAAGTGGTAGAAGGAAAACTTAATAGATACCTTTTATATAATTTCAACTTTTATCCCTCATGACCATATTTACCATTCAATACAAAAAAAATTGAATGAAGTTGTAAGTCTGAATAAGGTAGTCAGGTGAGTTGTTCTCAAGCACTACTTGTTATTTCTTTTGGTTTCATATCATAATGCACTCAAGGTTTCCCACCAGTTCTTGTACCATTTCCTCTCTCTTATTGAGATTTTATTTCCCATCCATGTTTTGACTTATCTTTGTTAACTAGATTCAATCAGTTTAAGAGTTCAGGGATTCAGGACACTCTAAGTTCTTATTTGCTTGGGAATGTCTGAGTTGTTCATTTTGCTCTGGTCTGTTTTCCTGAAAGGCTAACTGGACCGTGTTAAACATCACTGCACTGTTTTCTGGCATTAGCTGTTTTGGGGAAGAAGTATGAGGTCAGCTTGAATTCTTTCTCCTTGACATGACAGGATTTTTCTACCCAGTTGACCATAAGATATATTTTTTGTCCTTGACGTTCAGGTTCAAGACGCTATGTCTCGGTGTTTATTTTTTGTATCAGTTCTTGGGAAAGTTTTTGTCCTTTCGATTCACAGATTCAATCATGTTTCATACTTGTGGTTTGTAGTTGTACTCCTTTCCTTGTTTTATTGGGGTCAAAAATACTTATTTTCTGTTTCTTTCTCTTTATTATTTTCAGCGGCGTTTTCTTCCAACATTGTATTATGAAAATATTTGTGCATGCCGAAAAGTTGGAAGAATTTTACAGTGAAAAAGAATCATATTATCTCCTGCATGGGTTCTATAACTGACATTTTGCAATATGTGCTTTATTACATAGCTGTCCTTTCATCCATCTTCAATAAATTTTATTTTTTTAATGCATTTCAAAGTAGGTTTCAGATAACAGCGCACTTCCCAGTGAGTTCTTCAACATGTATTTTGTTAACTAGAATCCATTATTTGTTTGTTTTCTTTCACAGTAATTTAAAAAAATTAATATACACCCAAATACACACATTTTAATTCCACGATTTTGACAAATGCATAATGCATGTAACCTAAACCCTTATCAAAATATAAATTATTGCAATGACCCCGTGTCCATTCTCAGTCCACACCCACCCCTAGTCTTTCCTCCCAAGAAGTAACCGCTATTCTGATTTTTTCCACCATACATTAGTTTTGCCTATTTTAGAACTTCATATAAATGGAACCACACAGTATGTACTTTTTTGTGTAAAATTTCTCCTCCTCGGCATAATGTTTTGGAGGTTCACCCCTGACGTTGCTTGTATCAAAGTTTCTTGCTTTTTATTGCTGTGCAGGGGCAATGTTCATTGTATGAGTATACTCTAGGTTTTTCTCTATCCATTCTTCTGGGGATGGACATGGAATTCCAACCTGGGGCTATGATGCATAAAGTTGCCAGAAACAGTTTTACACCTGTATTTTTGTAGCTATAGGTTTCCAATTCTTTGAGTCAATATCATGTGGAATGAATGGGTGGCTCAAATAGAGGTATATGTTTAATTTTACGAGAAATTCAATATTTTATTCTAACGTGGTCATATCATTTCATATTTCCACCAATATTGTATGAAAGTTCCAGTTACTCCACATCTTTGCTCATATTTGGTGTTAGCCATTCTGGTGGATGTAGTGATAGTTCAGGATGGTTTGGTTTGCATTTTCCTGATGAATAATCCTGATGAAAACTCTGCCAGATGCTTACTGTCCATTTCTATATCTCCCTTTGCTAAGTATTTGTTAAAGTCTTAGGCCAATTTTTAGAGAATTGTTTGATGTGGATGTTTTATTTTCTTGGATTATGGCTCTTTGTAAGACATGTTTTTCAAATATTTTCTTTTGGTTGATGGCATTTTAGTAATTTTCATCAAATCTTTAATCAAGTTTTAGATTTACATTTAGGTCTCTGATGCATTTCATGTTGATTTTGATGTATAGCATGAGATAGGGGTTGAAATTCATTTATTTTACACATGGATATCAGTTGTTTCACCACTCGTTTACTAACAAGATTTCCTTTCTGTATTGGATTGCTTTGGTTCATTTGTCAAAAATCAAATGACTGTGTAAATGCTGGTCTATTTCTGGGTTAAATACTCTATTTCATTAATCTATTTGTCGAATTTTTTCACTGTCTTAATTAGTATAGCTTTATAGTAAGTCTTTTTTTAAACTTTTTTTTTTTAAACGTTTTTTTATTTTTGGGACAGAGAGAGACAGAGCATGAACGGGGAAGGGGCAGAGAGAGAGGGAGACACAGAATCGGAAACAGGCTCCAGGCTCCGAGCCATCATTCCAGAGCCTGACGCGGGACTCGAACTCACGGACCGTGAGATCGTGACCTGGCTGAAGTCGGACGCTTAACCGACTGCGCCACCCAGGCGCCCCATCTTTATAGTAAGTCTTAATGCTAGGTAGTTTAAGTCCTCCAAATGCGCTCTTCAAGCAGACAGCATAATCATATTCAGTCTCCCAATTCATGAACACAGTATGTCTCTCTACTTTCTGGTCTTTCATTTTTTTTCAGCAATGTTATATGGTTTACAGTGTATAGGTACTGCTGATCTTTTGTTAGCTTTCCCCAAGTATTTAATGTTTTTTGACAGTATTGTGAACTAATTTGCTACACTTTAATTTTCCAATTGTTTTCTAAGAATACATAGATATACTTTGGATTCAGTATATTAACCTTGTGTCTTGCAACCTTGCTTAATTAACTTACTAGTTCTAAAGTTTGGGGTTTTTTTTTTATTAATGTAACTATGTCAATCTTTTTTTGACTGTTTCTCAGGTTTAGGTATCGTTTACAAAAGGCCTTTGTTATTCCAAGATTAGGAAAATAAGGTCTTATTTTTCTAATACATGTATACATTTTACATTTAGATTTTCATTCTACCTAGTATTTAGTTAAATGTGTGGCAAGATGAGAATGTAGCCTTATACCAATCTAATAATTGATACAGTAAATTGTTTTAACACCATTTATTCATTAAGTTTCCATCTTTGCACTGAAACTGAATTGTTATCTTTATCTTACACTAAGTTTCAAAAGGTCTTTTTCTGGAATTTGTAGCTTAGTCTATTTATTTGTTTGTATATATATATATATATATATATATATATATATATATATATATATATTTTACCAGTATGGTGGTTTTATTAATCATGGAAGTTTATTTAAAAATATGTTGGCTAATTCTATGCATTGACTCCTCCAGATAAATGTAGAATTAACTTAAATTTTATGCAATATCCCATTGGGAGTGTTATTAGAATTGAACTGAATTTATGGACTAATTTGAGATAACCATGTATCTCTGAATATTGAGTATTCCTACCCAGAAATACAATTTACATCATTTTTTTAGAAGTTGTTTCATGACTGTGGTAGGTAGAGCTTTATCATTTTCTTCACATAGATCTAGGTTATTTTCCTCAAGCTTCTTGTAAGTATTTTATAATTTGCTATTGTCATGGGATCTTTGTATTTTACATTTTCTAACTGATTTTTGGGAAGCAATTGATTTCTCCAATTTCTGTCTTTGTTGAGTTTACAATATAATTGAATATAATTGAATTCAAATCCATAAAATATAATAGGATTCTTAAATAGCTACTCAGATAATTGCCACTTCCGTAGAGAAGAGAAGGGAGGCTGTAAGATACCAGTGAATTGCCTTGTACTCTGAAAGCCTGCTGCATGAACAACCTGAGACTCACTTGCATTTTGTATTTGCAGTCGAGAAACATCATAATATATACCAAGAGTTTTGAATTTAAAGGGTTCCTTTCACATTAAAAACACAGAGGCACCTGGGTGGCTCAGTCAGTTAAGCGTCCGACTGTTGATTTAGGCTCAGGTCACAATCTCACTATTTGTGAGATCAAGCCCCGAGTTGGGCTCCGTGCTGACAGCACAGAGCCTGCTTGAGATTCTCTCTCTCCCTCTCTCTGCCCCTCCCCCCCATAAATAAATACACTTAAAAAATTATAAAAGCACAAGGATCACAGAAATGAACAATTGTGCTTTCCTTGTTAACTGTTTTTCTTTTATCAAGTAGAAAGTTACAAAAAAATGAATCTCCCAGTTGTTCCATTTTTGCTGATATATTCTCACCTCTAGATCATGTTTGTGAATCTAGTCTGAAGATTTTAAATTGAGTTCATCAATTTACCAGGCCTGAGGGATACAAAGCCTAGCCCCAAGCTCCCCTCCCCTTTTTCGAAAGCAGCAGTTTTTTATGAAGGGGCGAGCAACCTGAGTTTAGAAAAATCCCAAAGAGTATGCTAATCAGATCTCTTCTTGGGCACAAAGAAACCTTGCTAATTTTTAAATGCTGCCTGCTATCCAAATTACAGAGTGGTCACATTTTTCCATTACATGGTTTTATAATATTTAAGCCAAATACAGTTTTCTGGTGTTAACAAAGGGATGAATAGGCAGGAATATATACCCACCTGTGCCTCTTTAAAAAAAACCTCACACATTTGAATCCACAAATGTCACCCAATTTTCTAAAGTGCCTCACCAGCCTTTTATCCTCATAAAACTCCATATAATGAGGCTAAATGCAATGCAGATGTCAGGGGGAAATGCACTAACCACTTCCTGTCAGCCATACAGGTATTCAACAAGCCCTCTCCCCAAACCTTCCTACGGTGTCCCAGGCATTTATCTTCTCTGTGGGAAGCACTTGAATCTGACAGCCCAAAGTGTTTTGTTTCATTTTTAGTGTCTCATAAAGCTTTTCTGAGGTAAAAAAAAAAAAAAAAAAGCAGATAATGTGGCTAACAATGATTACCACTCTTTATTTTCCTTATTCTTGGGGTGAAGGCTGCCCTAATTTCAAATCTCATCGTCAAAATCAGACACAGGCTAAAACATTCTCTGGACTTCATGTCCTATAAAGACTCTAAGCTGCCCAATCAGTCTCTTTCACATGCTCTTCGGGGTTTATAAATATTGTCATGAATGATTATCAGTCATTATCAATATGACCTTGGGCTCTGGTTCTTTGAAGACTTTTAATTTAATTTTTTAGTGCATTTTCTTACATTGCAACTTACTAGCCCAACCTTGTATTAAATGACCTGCAACCATGGTCGTATGTATTGTGGGCTGTGGCATCTGCCTTTCAGTGTGTCTCCCTAGTGAAACCTAAGGGAATTCATTCAATACATAACTATTTAGCTCTTACTGTGTGCCGGTCAATGCCCCCCACCTTCTAAGTCCAATGGGGATGTGATCAAGTCAAGAATGAATTACACAAGACATCCAGATGGCCAACAGGCACATGAAAAGATGCTCAACGTCACTCCTCATCAGGGAAATACAAATCAAAACCACACTGAGATATCACCTCATGCCAGGCAGAGCGGCTAAAATGAACAAATCAGGAGACTATAGATGCTGGAGGGGATGTGGAGAAACGGGAACCCTCTTGCACTGTTGGTGGGAATGCAAACTGGTGCAGCCGGTCTGGAAAACAGTGTGAAGGTTCCTCAAAATTTTAAATATATCTACCCTATGACCCAGCAATAGTACTGCTAGGAATTTACCCAAGGGATACAGGAGTACTGATGCATAGGGACACTTGTACCCCAACATTTATAGCAGCACTTTCAACAATAGCCAAATTATAGAAAGAGCCTAAATGTCCATCAACTGACGAATGGATAAAGAAGATGTGGTTTATATATACAATGGAGTACTACTTGGCAATGAGGAAGAATGAAATCTGGCCATTTGTAGCAACGTGGATGGAACTGGAGAGTGTTATGCTAAATGAAATAAGTCATACAGATAAAGACAGGTACCATATGTTTTCACTCTTACGTGGATCCTGAGAAACTTAACAGAAGACCATGGGGGAGGGGAGGGGGAAAAAAGTTACAGAGAGGGAAGGAGGCAAACCATAAGAGACTCTTAAAAACTGAGAATAAACTGAGGGTTGATGGGGGGTGGAGGGAGGGGAAAGTGGGTGATGGGCATTGAGGAGGGCACCTGCTGGGATGAGCACTGGGTGTTTTATGTATGGAAACCAATGTGACAATAAATTTCATATTAAAAAAAGAATGAGTTACACATAGTGAGATAGGGTGAAGGCGAAGGAGGGGTGTTCATGGAAGATGAGGGGTTAAGGAAGGCTTCCTGGAGGACATTATTCATTTCAGGGTAATTCCTGAGGATTAATATTGAGAACCTCGAGGGGTAAGAATTGGGGGAAGCAGAGAAAAGGGAATGTGAACAGATCTGGAGGCAGAATATAGCTTGGTACATATAAGGATGATCAATCATGCAGACGTGAGTCTGGAGAAGAATACTGAGCTGTAAGTACTGATAGTGCTAAGAGGCTACAGGTTAAGGGATTTCCTTGAGGACAGTGAGTACCACACATACTAAGAGGCTTCATGCAGAGGACCACACTGGATTGCAGATCACTCTGGCTACAGCATGGGAAATGAGTAGGTTAAGGACTAGTTAGGAAGTGGTATTGCAGTACTCCAGGCAAGACATAAAGGTTTGATTTAATAAAAGCTATTGCCTATGTAGGATGGAGAACCACGAATGACTTGAAAACGATGAAAAGGAAAAATTGTCAGAACTTGGGATATACTGGCTGCAGCATGAGATGGGGAGAGAAATCAAGCATGATTTCCACATTTCCAGCTTTGCGGTTGTAACTGAACCAACGTGAGTTCATTCCTTGGTAAGTCAGAAACTGCACCAGGTTGAGATGCCCCATAAAGAAAACTTTTATTTGCAGCAAATGAGGAGGTCATAGGGAATGGCTTCCAAAGCCGTGACTTCCCGAAAGTGAATGAATGGGCGTCTTTTGTTTAGAATTAGGATGAATATTTAGATAGGGAAGCCTTGTAATCCTGTGTATAGGTGGGCATAAGGTAGTGAATGTGTCTTAAGGAAACATGCCTATGTATATTGTATGGTATGTAAATGAGGCTGAGGCTCCTCCCTAGGTGGAGATTTTAGTATTATAATGAGGTAAAAGGTGACTGTGGGTCATTCCAGAGGTCACTCCATAGTCTATCTGCGCAGATGCAAGTCAAGTTTAGCTCAAATGGTCTGGGCGGTCTGGGCCAGCGGGAGGTCTTGTCCAGGCCATTGCCATCACCTGGGGGGTGGTCTGGGGTCTCATTTGCCTGAGTTAAGAGGAAAACCCAAAAGAAGAGCTTAGGGGAAAATGTTAAGACAAAGGTTAGTGAATATAAGCAGGTGGGTGGTAAAGGCCAGGTCTTGGGGTCTAGTGACACAATGACATGTTTTATTGAAAAGCCCATTGCAGATTTCTTGGAAGAAGAGCACAGTTTTTGGATACACCCTCAGTTCAGTCCCTCGTTAGCACTGTGTGTCCTTGTATTCATTCCTTAATCTCTCTGAGCAGCAATTATCTATAAAATGAAGATACTATTGCAAGGATTAACTAAATGCCAGCATGTTGAAAATAGCCTAACAGTACTAATCATATATTTGGGCATCAAGAATGAGAGCAGCGAATATAATTGGCATCTTTGTGATGTTAAGTCTTTCTCTACACAAAGAAGGTGTATCTCTCTATTTATTCTGGTCTTTTTTAATGGTCTTGTGAGAAAAATTTTGTCTAAGTTTTTGCTCCTATTTTAAGTGGGGTATTCTTTTTTATTACATTTTCTAATTGTTCCTTGGTAGTGGACTAGAAATTCACTTCTGTGTTGTGATTTTCCATTCATCTAATTTGATTATTTCCAATAATTTGGCTACTGTTTTTGGAAAAGTTATGCAAATAATTCTGTCATCGATAAAAGTTTTATTTCTTCTTTTCCAATTCTTATACCTTTAAATTCTTATTACACTGACTGAAGGCTTTATACTGATACTGTGTAATAGAAATATAATGTAAGCTCCAGATGTAAATTTTCAAAAAAACCCAACAGGCTTTATTTTTGAGAGCAGTTTTAGGTTTACAGAAAAACTGGAGATTACAGAGAGTTCCCATAGACATCCTTAATCCCCCGCCCCCACAGTTTCCCCTATTATCAATATCTTCCATTAAGATACATTTATTGTAATTGATGAAGTATGGATACACTATTAGCTAAAGTCCGTAGTTTACATTAGGGTTCACCTTTTGCAATGTACATTCTGTGGGTTTTGACAAATGCACAATGACATATGTCCACCATTATAGTATCAGACAGAATAGTTTCACTGCCTGAAAAATTCTCCTTTGCTTCACCCTTATCTCTCCCTCCCCCTGAACCTCTGGAAGCCACTAATTTTTTTACTGTCCCCATCACTTTGTCTTTTCCAGACTGTCGTATAGTTGGAATCATACAGTATATAGCCTTTCCAGATGGACTTCTTTCACTTAGCAATATGCATTTAATGTTCTTCATGTCTTTTCATGGCTTAATATCCTTTCTTTTCCCTTCTTTCCTTCCTTCCTCCCTCCCTCCCTCCCTCCCTTTCCTTCTTTCCTTCCTTCCTTCCTTCCTTCCTTCCTTCCTTCCTTCCTTCCTCTTTCTTTCTTTCTTTCTTTCTTTCTTTCTTTCTTTCTTTCCTTCTTTCTTTTTCTAAACAATATTCCATTTTATGGATATACCATAGTTTGTTTATCCATTCACTTATTGAAGGACATCTTGGTTATTTCCAAGTTATAGCAATTATGAATATAGATTCTATAGACTTTAATGCACAGGTTTTTGTGTAGGTGGAAATTTTAACTCATTTAGGTAAATACCAAGAAGCACAATTGTTGGATCATATGGTAAGAGTAAGTTTCTTTTGTAAGAAACCACCAAACTGTCTTCCACAGTGGCTATGCTATTATGTATTCCCACTAGCAATTAACATTGTTCATGTTCATGTTGCTCCACATCCCGGCCAGTATTTGGTTTTGTCACTGTTTTGAATTTTAGCCATTCTAAAATTGTTGTTTTAATTCACAATTCCTTAATGACATGTGATCTTGAGCGTCTTTTCATATGCTTATTTTCCATCTGTGTATCTCTTTGGTAAAGTGTTCAGATCTTTTGCCTGTTTTTTCAATGGATTGTTTGCTTTCTTATTGTTGAATTTTCATACTTATTCATATATATTTGACACTACTCCTTTATCAGGCATGTGTTTTGCAAAAACTTTCTTCTTTGGCTTTGTCTTTTAATTTTTTTAACAGTGTCTTTTGCAGAGCAAAATTTTAAAATTTTAATGAAGTCTCATGTATCATTTTTCTTTCTTTTATGAATGATGATTTTGGTGTTTTATCTAACAAGTCACTACCAGGGTGCCTGGGTGGCTCAGTCAGTTGAGTGTCTGACTCTTGATTTCAGTTCAGGTCATGATCCCAGGGTCGTGGGATTGAGCCGTGCCTCAGGCTCTGTGCTGAGCATGGAGCCTACTTAAGATTCTCTGTCCTTCCCTCTGCCCTCTCCCTGGCTCATGCTCCCTCTCTCTAAAATAACATAAATAAATAATAATAAAAAAAAGTCATTTCCAAATGCAAGTTCACCTAGATTTTCTCCTATGTGATCTTCTTATCTAAGAATTGTTTAACTTCTATTATGATTTCTTCTTCGATCTACATGTTGTTTAGAAATCATTCCTAAAATTTTAAATACATGAATATTTTAAATATATATATTTTTAAATTACTTATAACTTTATTTCAGTTTGTCTGGAAAATATGTTTTATTTATATATTACTTGTCCTTTGGTATTTTCCCTGTTCTATGGCTTGGTAGAGAAATAATTTTTGTAAATGGTGTATGTCTGCTTGAGAAAAATGTCTTTTCTGAATCATTGAACCCAATCCTGCTTGACAAAAAAGTCAGCATATTAACTGTGTTTTTGAAGTTCTTTGTGTTTTCTTTTATTTGTATTGCTTATTGTACCTATAAATAGTGAGAGAGGTGTGTTGAAACCTCCCACTTGGGTGACAGATAGATTCAGCTCTCTTTATTTCTATCAATTTTGCTTTGTATGTTTTGAGCCTATGTTATTAAGTGCTTACGTATCCATCTCTTTGGTGAATTGAGCATATTATGAAATGATTCTATTGTTCCTAAAGATGCTCTTTAAAATTTAACTCCACTTCTTCTCATTTTATGTAGCTTGCTCAAGTTCACTTAACTAGCATGTGGCAAGGCAGAGTTCATGCCCTCACACCTGGGAAGTCTGGGGCTAGATCTTATGCTCCTAACCATCTGCTCAATCTCTCCACCTCCAGGCATCAGCACCTGAGCAACACTTTCACTTGTCTTGCTGCCTTCCACAACATCTGTGGCAAGTACCAGCTGTACCTGTCAGATGAAATGGGGATAGGCTGCCACAGGTTCCAGATGTGACATTTGTACTTAGAAGAGGAGCTTCTAAAAACCTTTGGCTCCATCTTTACCCAGACTTGAACCTGCAGATTCCCTATAAAAGTCATTGGTGGCTTCATTCCTACAGCTCAAACTTTTCTAGCTCTATCTCCAACCCCAGTGTGTTTACTTGAAGTCACTTCACTCAAGTCACCACTTTTATTTTATTTTCCTTCCATTGTCCCTACCATGTCCCCCTTGGCTTCTATTCTACCAGCTCCTTTAGGCCATGGATATTGAACAGTTTGCAAGGATGGAGTTTGGACTCTCCCCTTCATGAGACTTGGCTGATCATTGTATCAGCCTGCCTCCTGCCTGATACTTGGTTAGGAAAACAAGCTCAGAAAACATAGAACATAGAACCTAAGTCAGGGTCTAGCCCTTCAACTTCTCCCTACTGGATGGAAAGATGGACAAGATTTTACCGATTAGAGTAGCTCTCTATTCTTACTTTGGAAAGTTTCTTTTCTCAGTCCTCCTATACACAAATTATTGTACAAATTTTTGTGGACATATGCAAAAATAAGATGGACCCCCATTGGAAAGTTGGCTTAGATATCAAGTCTCGTGACTCCACACACTAAGAAGGTATGAAAGAGTTTTTAACTACATAATGAGGCCTTTGGGGGAAGGGGAAGGAGTGTCTCTCATGCTGGTCTAAAAATGACTTGAGAGAACAAGAAAAGGAAATTGATTTGGGTTTTTTTTTAAACTTTTTTTAATGTTTATTTATTTTTGAGAGAGAGATACAGAGCATGAGAGGGGGAGGGGCAGAGAGAGAGGGAGACACAGAATCCAAAGCAGGTTCCAGGCTCCGAGCTGTCAGCACAGAGCCTGACACAGGGCTCAAACCCATGAACCGTGAGATCATGACCTGAACTGAAATCAAGAGTCAGACACTCAACTGACTGAGCCACCCAGGCACCCTGGTAGTGACTTGTTAGATAAAACACCAAAATCATCATTCATAAAAGAAAGAAAAATGATACATGAGACTTCATTAAAATTTTAAAATTTTGCTCATGGCCAAAGTCAGATGCTCAACCGACTGAGCCACCCAGGCGCCCCAACTTGTTTGGGATTTTTACTGTGGGTGGGAATTGAGGCCAGGGAAAGGACTTTTATATACAAGAATGGGCTTATGTAGATTTTGAAACTCCCACCTGGTGCCAAGGAGGGAGCACCCAGGCTTTCTTATTAACTTTCCAGGATGCAGAGCAGAAGAGGAAGGAGAGATGAGGCTTAAAAGTTGTCGAACATCATGGGGCACCTGGGTGGCTGAGTCACTTAAGCGTCCAATTCTTGATTTCAGCTCAGGTCATGATCTCATGGTTTGAGCCCACATTGGTCTCTGTGCTGACAGCACAGAGCCTGCTTGGGATTCTCTCTCTCTGCCTGTCCCCTGCTCTCAAAATAAATAAACTTAAAAACTATTCTTTTAAAAGGCTGTCAAACATCAAAAAAAAATCAGACTTGGTACACAAATCTATACCTCTGAGTTGTAATCTCTTATTTATTGGCCAATTACAATAGCTCCACTTAAAGAATAAGGTCCCCAAAAGCCAAGAAATAGTTCTATTTTCTAAAACCAAAGCTAAAGGAAGAATTGTTCTTCAAGCTACTCCAATGCCCTGCCAACAAGTTATGTTTCTGGGTCTGAGACAGACCAGTCACAGACATGTGGATAGTGCTTGAAGTGGTACCCCTGGCTGGCTTTAATATCCTCTTCCTGACTGTTGGTGGGAGAGACACAGCTCAGACAGGGAATAAATGCCAGCCCCTCCATGTTGCAGAAAGTGAGCCATACAAAGACATTGCCAGGACTCTTCATGTCAGGGACTAAGTTCATATATCACCTCACATTAAGTGACTAATCTGATCTGTTTCCATGATTATAGTCAGAGGGCAAATGAGAGACCAACTGACCAGGAAGGAAGACCATGCCACATCACTGGGAAGAAGGCGTGTTGGAAGGCAAGTGAGGGGTAAGTGGGACAGCATCCGTCCATTAACCACACGAATCATCATGGCCAAACTTCCTCTTGATTGACACAATATTCTAATTGTAACAAAGATCCTTGGGAACAAATATAATAAATCTGCTCTTGCTTAAGTGGAAGGTGGTGGGGGTTGCTGCTTTTGCTTTTGGCAAGTCAAAAAAGAGGAAAACTCCCCTCTCATGGAGGACGGAATCTGTCAAATTCTAGGGCAGGGGCTCAATTCCTTAGCGGCTGGGCAGCAGCTAAAAGGAATCCAGGTGGTTTCGAAAAGAGACTTTGCTGTGCCCCCTCCCTCTGGACTCAATACCCATATTGTGAGCAAGTGGAGGAGGGGAGGCAGAGGTGTGGAGGAAAGCAGGCTCCAGCCCAGCCCTGAACCAGCACTCTGGATGTTGTTCCACTTCAGGGGTCATTAGCAAGGCTCTTGACCTAAGTCCGACTGCAGACAATGGGTGAAGATGGCAAGCAGAACAAAGGCAGCTGGACAGCTACCTGCAGGTGATTTCTCTTAGGGCAAGGAGGGATTCTTTTCAAAGGAAAAGGTTGGAAAGCTGTTACCATGGTAACTCTCCAAGTTCTGAAGTGATGTAATCAGATAACGCTCTCGAGAGCAGAGGGTAGATGGTGGATTTAGCACACATGAACAGCTAAATTCTACAAGTAGAGCTTTTTCTTTCTCTTTTATGGTAAATTTCAATATTAAGAAAGGGGAAGAAAGAGGGAAAGAAAGGAGGAGAAAGAAAGAAAGAAAGAAAGAAAGAAAGAAAGAAAGAAAGAAAGAGAAAGAAAGAAGGAGGGAGGAAGGAAAGAAAGAAAGGGAAGGAAAGAAAGGAAGGGGGAAAGAGGGGGGAGGGAGGGAAGAAGGAAAGAAAGAAAGAAAGAAAGAAAGAAAGAAAGAAAGAAAGAAAGAAAAGAAAAGAAAAAGAGAGAAAGAAAAAGAAAGAAAAGAGAGAGAGAGAGAGAGAGAGAAAGAAAGAAAGAAAGAAAGAAAGGAAGAAGGAAAAGGAAAAAGGAAAAAAGATACAGAAAGAAAGAGAAAGGTAACAAAATAAAGCAAAATAGACAAAAGAAAGGAAAGATATAAGGAAGAAAACTCAAACATAATTTATTCTAAATAAATATCTTTAGTAGCAAGAAAGAGCTGCCTATGGAGTGGAAACTGAGAGAAGGAGGTTTGATTCTCTATGATTTTGACCTTTGTGATTTATGAAGATTGATAGAGGAGTTAATTGTTATTCTGAGCACATCTGGATGAGTATTATTATAAGACATACTTACCTGGATACAACTGCATTATCATCAGTTTAACGTAAGATTTCTGCCATTTTGTCTTCAATGGCTTGCTACTAATGGTGTTGTGAAATATGATTGTACATGTGCTTGATATTGATAATGAAACTAATCATAAGCTACTTTCACTTCTGAGACATTACAGCTTACTCTATTCTAAATTGTAAAACATTGTTCTTGAGAGAAGACTTTTCAAAATGACTCGAAATTATTCAATGAATTCTTTGACATCACAGGCCTGTCAAGTGGGTTGTTCACTCAACATCTTGGCCCTCCCCCTTTGTCCTACTCCCGGCCCTCTATGCGCGAGATGAATGTGGTTCGGAAAACAACACACTCAGGACTAGTGGCCACACTCCAGTTCATGACCTTACTGAGCTCCCATCACTGCCAAGGGGCCCTACACACCGTCCTTGCCACATTCTTCTATCCTCCTAGGTGACCACTTACCCCTCCCACCCCACTTCCTCAAATCTCCAATATGAGGATGAACATTCCTCATCCTCAGCTTCAACTGTTGACTTGTCCTCATTTTGCTGAGAAAACAAAACCCATAAAAAGAGTATTTCCTCATCTTCCCACCCAATTTCTTAACCTGTCTTCATCTGTAAGGATATATTGCCTGCCTCCTCCCCTGTTACATGAATTGTATCCAGACTGTGGGTCAGGACAAGCTCCTCCATATGTGACTGGATCCTGTGACCCCAGAACACTCATTACCGTTAGCTCCACCCATCAATCCCATCCTCTCTCTCCTATGTCATCAAGTTTTTCCTCCCATCCAGATCATTTTCAATATCACAAAAAATGTGTTCTTTTGTCTCCCCTGTTTCAAACAAAAAGATAAATGCAAACTTCTCCTGATTCCTCTAACCCCCAGCCTGCTTTGCACCCTTGTTGCAAAATTGTTGAGAGTTCCCCATTCTCACTCATGATGGCCTCTTTCACATGCTCCCACTCTCTCGGACCAACTCCATTAACGCCTTTTCCCCTCATCACTCCAGAGAAAAAGTTTTTGTAGTAGTCATCGATGAAATCACATTGCTTAACCCACAACCTGTGTGTAGTCTTCCTCTTAATTGACTAAGCACCATTTTAGGAAGCTAGTTAGTCCCTTCTTCTTGAAACTCTTTTTCCCCTTGGTCTCTAAAACATCCATCTCCTGCTTTACCTTCAACATAACTCAGTTTCCCTTCTAGTCTCCTTTGTTGACTCTACTTCTTTCAGCCTTTAAATGTTCCACTTATTTGTTCCCCTGGTGGATACTCTGATGATGCCCAAATTTCTGTCTCCAGCCAACACCTCTTTGAACTCCAGACTCGGGTATTCAAATCTCCATGTAACATTTCCTCTTGCATGTGTCATAGGTATCTCATACAGAGCCCTTGGGTTTTCTCCTGTTCACACAAACCATCCCCTCTCCCAGGGCTGTGAGCGATCAATGTTTGTGTCTCCTCAAAATTAGTATGTTGAAGCCCTAAACCCCAGTGCGGTGGTATTTGGAGGTGGGGCCTTTGGGATGTAATTTAGTTTAGATGAGATCGTGAGGGAAGAGCCCCCATTAGGGTCCTTATGGGAAGAAGAAAGGACCAGAGCCCCCTCTGTGAGGATAAAGCAAAAGTCAGGAAGAGGGCCCTCACCAGAATCGAAATCTGCCTTGACACCTTGATCTTGGATTTCCCAGCCTTAAGAATTGAGAGAAATAAATGGCCGTTGTTTACACCATCTGCTGTACAGTATTTTACTATAGCAGCCCAAGCTGACAAGAAACCCAGTACCTCCCACTGCATCTTGTTGCTTAAGTCAAGGTCAAAATTTGGAGTCATCTTTGAATCCTCTCCTCTCATATTTCAAATCCAACCCCTTATCAAAACTTGTTGGCTCCAATTTAAAAATATATCCAAAATGCAGCCACTCGTCATCTCCTACATTGCTATCAGGCTCCTTCAAACAACCACATCATGCCTCGCCTTAATTATTACATAATTTCTTATCTGGCTTCTCTGCCTCCACTCTTACCATGTTGTCATCTCTTGACACAGTGGTCAGAGACCTTCTGTAAACATAAAGTCAGATCATGTCATTTCCTTGCTCAAACCCTTCTGGTGGCATCTGATCTTACTGGAATAAAATCCAAATTCAAACAAGGTCCTACAAGACCCTGCACAATCTGTCTCCCGCCTGCTTCTCAGACCTCGCCATGTACCACTGTGATTCCTACTCACTGTTCCCTGTGCATACTGACCTTCTTGACCACACCAAGCAAATACAATTCTGTTGTAGTGGCCAGAACACTTTCCCCCTAGATGCTTACATGGTGTATGCCCTCGTTTTATTGAGGTCTTTATTCAAACATCTCTAAGAGAGGCTTTATCTGGCTACTCTATATAAATTATTCCATTCCATCCTCTTACTCTCTTTTACTTTTTTTTCACAGTGCCAACTTATATTCTATATTTATCTCTTTCTCATCTGTCACTTCAGAATGGAAGATTTATAAGAGACTTTGTTTCTTTTGTTCATTGCTGTATTCCTGGAAAAAAGACAATGTTTTTCACATCGTAGACTCTTAATAAATATTTGCCAAATAGATGGATGAATGAATGATTGAATGAGGCATTATTTGAGGATCCTACACTCACAGAGTAACTAAGTTATTTTTGTGGTTACAGACAAGATTCCCAGCCTTATGTGGAGCCAGGAAATTAACAATCAGGTCCTTGATGGCTGATACACTTATGCACCTTTGGTTACATGATGCTGCTGTTGAGCATGGATTCCAGCTCCCACTGATCATCTCCCTAGGCCTCAGAAATATCTTTCACAAAAATCGCAAACCCTAGACTCAACATTTACAGGTGCCACCTCATTTGGATGTTGTATTCTAGCTGGGTTCCCATCTCTCCTACTCATTGCCCACCTCCTCCCCATTCTCAGGGGAAGATCAACCCCCCTTAGCAGATACCATGTCCAGTTCACCATTCCAAGAACTTCCATCCGTCCCTTTTGGAAATATGAAGAAAATACCCTCATGAGGGTGCAGAGGTGAGGTAGCCCTTTCCTCAAGGTTTTGTCCAAGTCTTGTTGATGCCAGAGTTTGGAGGAAAGGAGGTGAGTAGAAGGAATCAGAGAAATAGGAGGATACAGCCAGAGCTTAAGCAGAGGATTTCCCTCCGTTTTGAAATTAATTATGGAACACACAGAGGTTGTTTTGAAGCCAGCAGGCAAACACTTATAAAGACAGAAGAACTCTGAAGGAGCTAATTCTAAAAAAAAAGAGTTGTCCTTTGTTTGAAGAATATGTTGAGTTGTTCTCCCCACCCTCAAAGCTGGAATAAATTCATACAGTCTAATATCCACGGCTCCAGAGAGCTCAAGAGATGATCCTGAAGATCAGAAGGGCTTTATCACTCACTTTTGTCATGGCCCCAAAATGCGTCTCCCAGTCTTGATGGCATCTTGCTGGGGAAGTTATCTGAGAAATTACCGGTCTGTCTCCCTCAGAGAAGTCTTCATCTATTGCCTCATAAACTGAACTTCTAAGAGCGGAATCAGCCCAATTCTTGGCAAAAGTTGGAATGGAACCCTTACGAACTCATTTGTGATGACGGTTGGGAATGAAACAGAAGAGCTGAGCAGCATTTGTTGGGCTCCGTGCCCACATAACCACCCCGGTAAGTACCAAGCATAGCTTTCATTTCCCCCATATTAGTGAAAACTGAAAAGAATACGTGGTTAAAGCATAACAAAGATGTTGGAATCGGAAAGACACTGACTCATTGATTCCAGTCATGTCCCAGCCCCTTCTTACCATATCTCCCTGGGTGATTTTCCTAACCCTTCTGAAGCTTCACGCCCTTATAAGAAATACAAGGTTCAATAATATCACCTACCTCACAGTGTTATTCTCAGATTGCAGTGAGATTATTAAAATGTTGAGTATAGAGTCTGTCAAATAGTTCATATGCAAAGTCTGGTTGTATTTATTAGCAGCTATTGCTACAATGATTCTGCATAACAACCCACCCAAAACTCAGTAGCTTACAGTGGTCCACATTTATTCTTTTGTCCAAGACTCTGCAGGTTGTTTGCAGCTTGGGCTTGACTGGGCAGCTCTGCTTGAGCTGGGGTTCAGCTGGGCTCAGCGCCAGGATGCTAGTTGGGTTCAGTCCTGTTCCATGTGTGTTTTATTCCATGGTCAAGGCTAAGGATCAATAGCTACAAGCTGTACTCTCCTCATGATGGGTCACTGGAGCACCATGCCAAGCCAAAAGACACACATTGAAGCCTTCTGTTTACATCACATCTACTGACATTACACTGGTCAAAGCAAGTCACATGGCAACCCCAGTATAATGGGGTAGGGTAACTCTCACCCACTATAGGAAAGAGAAGGAAGTGAATATTTGAAAAACAGTAATTTGAACGAACATCCTACAATAATGATGCTAAATTAATTTAGTGGTAGTAGTAATATTATGAGTAGTAATAGTAAAGAAAAATAATCATTGATTCCTTCCACTGATTTTGTTCGGCTGCCAAACTGTGCCAGGGGCTGTCTAGCTCTCCCAGGTCATGTTAAGCTTTTCCCAACCATTTAGTGCCTTGGATGTGTGGCTTAAAGGATGGCTTCGAAGACAATGACCTGAGTCGTGCAGATTATTTCCATCAGCTTGGAAATAGACAAACAGAAGCTAAACGAGTGACCAAATGCAATGTACACGGACTAACTCACAGTTTTGGTGACTCCTTGGACGTCTCTGAGCATCGGTTCTTCTAATCTAAGAAATGGAAAGATGTTCTCTTATGTTCCTCCTACTTTACTGAGTATTTTCCACATAGAAAAAGACTTGCTTTCCACCAGTCAGTCTTATGCATTTTAAGCAGAACAGAAAAACATTAAACATAGTCAGTTGATGTTCATTAGAGGGAAGGCTGGCATCAAATGCCAGGTTCAGTTCAGCCATGGAGTAACTCAAAGACAATGGAAAGGATTCACAGGATGTATTGCTTGGCCCTTGCTGCGATGGGTAAGGCAACTTGAAGAGGATAGTCTAGGGGCGCCTGTGTGGCTCAGTTCGTTAAGCATCCAACTCTTGATTTCAGTTCATGTCATGATCTCAGGTTTGTGAGCTCAAGCCCCACATCAGGCTCTGCTGACAGGGCAGAGCCTGCTTGGGATTCTCCTAATCTCTGTCTCTCAAAATAAATAAATTTAAAGAAGTGGATAGTCTAACATAAAACCGGGTGTCCTCTCTTAGGAATTCCCCATCAGACAGAGTGGGACACGTGGAGCAGAGGAAGGGAAGCTGGATATGAGATAGGAAGGAAAAGAGAAGATACTTGTCAGATGTTATCTAGCAATACAACCTTCTTGCTGTTTCCCATTCATTTTTCAAGCGTAAGGGAAGAAGAAGACCTATGAACTATCTGTGGATGACAGCTATCAACTCTATAGAAACATCAGATGGAAGATTGCCTTACCAAGTTCCATCACCTGTGCTGTCTGATTCCACGGACTAAAAACAAAAACAAAACAAAACAAAAAAACCCAAAAAGCAAAACAAACAAACAAACCACCACCAACAACAACAACAAAACAGGAAAAGAGCAAAAGCTATGACCTGAAAAATAGAATTTGGGCATGCAGGAAGGTTTCCCATCTTAGAAGGCTGATTGATAAATATCGAAATATCTTAAGATTTCATTGACATCTTGCCTCTCTCACTCTCTTTGTATAGAGAATGAAGGGGAGAAAAATTGACAGGCATTTATTGTTAAGAAGAAACTGCAGTCCCACTAAACACCACAAGAATCCAGCCAGGTAAGTACAATAACCTCATACTTTCAAAAAAGAATCCAGGATTGTTTGGGTTAAACACATTACTACCCTCCAAAACGTTATTAGAAAATGAGAATTGACCTCGGACCTAGACTCTGATTTTTTTCACCATATTACATTTTGATCTTTAAGATATGCACGGAGATTTTGAAAATCTTATTGCTTTTAGCTAAAAGCAAGGAGACAGATGAAATTAATGTTCACAAAGTCCCTTTCAGTCCCAGACATCTGTGAGTCTATGATATACAGCAAATTATTTCCTCCCGCAAACCCAAACTGGAGGCTACATTGTATATATTTTCCCCTTGTTTTCCTATGTCAGCTCCCTGACTGCCCCTCACAGCCACTTTGCAAGTCTTGATTGCCAAGCATTTAGTTCCTTTTTCCTGTTTGTCTGGAAGACAGAAAGCCCCAGGAAGGGATTCTTGGGCTTTTGATAGAAGGCGCATGAAATATCTGTAATTATGGATTACATTTTGTACCCAATAAATGGCTGAAAGAAGTCCAATGATAGAAACTTTTAGAAGATAATTGAATGTGTCAGCTGGATCAAAAAATTATGTACTTGCTCCACCTCTGCAAATTGTGATAAATAGTCTGTTGTCTGGAGAGGTTGCCTGGCATTTTCTTTTGCATTCCAAAATCACTGTCGCCCTTGTCACTGAATTTTTAGTTAACGACTCAAAGAAACCCTTTGGACTAGAATGAATCTCCTAGATGCCACCATCTGAACATAGTTACCTGGAATACAGCAGACTTTAATAATTCAAAACTTCAATTTATTTCTATCATTATCCCAGACAAAAGAAATGTATATTTTTAGCACATTTATTGGTGAAAAATGGGGTGTGCCCCACGCTTGAGGAAAAATTAGCTTTTCTCTACTTAAATAATGAAGTAAGAGAAAAAAAAGCATTTTTTCTTCATTATTTATGTATCCAATTGTGTCCTTTGCATAACTGCCTTGGAATAGAAGCACCTTATTAAGACGGACAATGAGTAGTAGCAGTAGAATTCCCAAGCAGAAGAACAAAACAAAATATAAATTAACGTTTTCTATTAAACCCCAGCAGTATATAGTGTGGCCAGACCAAGGAGAATCGAGGCTTGTTTAAACATTTATAAATCGTAAACAGCAGTCAGGGTAAATGGAAATAGTGATCAAATGTTGACTGAAGTTAGAATTTTCTAAGCTGACAAGGAATGGTAGAAATAACAAAGGAGGGATGGGGTAAATGGGTGACGGGCCTCAAGGAGGGCACTTTTTGGGATGAGCACTGGGTGTTGTATGTAAGAGATGAATCACTGGCTTCTACCCCTGAAGCCGAGATTACACTGTGTGTTAACTAACTCGAATTAAAAAAAGAAAAAAGAAAAAAAATATATAGATATATACACTTTTTTTTAATGTTGTCCATTTTATGTCCATTTATGTATGTGTGTATATATATATATGATTATATATATGTATAAATGATTTCAAAAGGAAGAAATAAAATGGACAACATTCAAAAAAAAAAAAAGAAGAAGAAATAACAAAGGGGAAGATCAGTAAGAACTTCACGTACGAATTACGATTTCTCTCAAAATTGCTTAACAGGCAAATAAACCGGGGGAAATACTCGCTCTCCACAGGACAAAGGGTGATATCCTTAACAGGAAAAGAGCTCCTGACAAAAGGTAATAATAAAAGCATTAAGTTCCCATCAGTAAAGGGGGGAAGGGAGTAAAGACAATTGAAAGCACAGATATATTGATGGCTAAGAAACATTTGAACATTTTTCAACCTCCCTCATCATCAAAGAAACGGAAATTTGCATAACAGGGAAATGCTATTGTTAACCTATCAGATTACTAGAACACTAAAAAAGAAAGAGAGAGAGAGAGAGAGAGAATATTCGAATGCGGAGATGGAGTGTAGGGACACAGAGGAGCTCAGCTCCGCTGGAAGGAATACAAAGCGGTTCCAGCCCTCGGCAAGGAATGTGGCGTGCAGTGTGCGAGCCTTGAAAATATTTGTAACGCTCACCTCCAAAAGTCTACTTCTGGGATTCTAATGATGGAAATGATCCAAAACAGAGAAAACGGGTTTTCTGCCAGAGACGTTCATTGCACTGCTGTTTATAATATTAAAATTGGGGAATAAACTAAATTTCCCAAAAATAAGAGTGATATTACACAAATCAGAATAACAAAATGTAGCCACTCAAATATCTGTAAAATATTTTAAGATCATAAGATGCCTAGGTTTTAGTGAAAAATATAAAATTAGAGTATAAAGTTTTATATGTGGAATGAGATCAAAGGTATAAAATAACGGATAAAAATGACCAGAGTGGATTATAATAAAATGCTAATAAAGGTTTTATCTGGTTAGTAAGATTATGGATGGAGTGACCATGTAATTTATTCTCCAAAAGGGGACACACCCAAATGTCTATGAGAAGGGACATATCAGGGGACAACATTCTGACAGTAAAGCCTAATGAGAATGTTACTTTTTATTAAGGTCCCTAAATATTTTTCAGACAAAGACTAGTTTTATAAGTGAATTCTTTCTAGGGACGTCTGGGTGGCTCAGTGGGTTAAGTGTCTAACTTCAGCTCATGTCATGATCTCTCAATTCTTGAATTTGAGCCCCACCTCAGGTTCCACACGGCTGGTGTGGAGCCTGCTTGGGATTCTCTCTCTCTCTCTCTCTCTCTCTCTGCCCCTTCCCCACCTGAGTGCTCTCCCTCTCTCTGAAAATAAATAAATAAGCTTAAAAACTTTTTTAAAAAAAATTAAAAAAAGAGAATTCTTTCTGATTATCAAAGTGACATACATTCACTGTAGAAAATTTGAGAAACACAGAAATATATGAAATTTGAGAGATTACACTGATGTAAATGGTGGGTAAATAGTAGACCTTTCTAAGAGCCCATTTGCAGGTGGTTTGGGAGAAGCGTGGCTGAGAATCCGCTTGGGATGAAAAGCAGAAGAGGGCAGTGGGCAGATTTAATGTTGGAGAAGCATGTACTAGGTCGGCAGGAGTTTTGCAAAGAGGGAGCTCCCTGTCTCTGGAGTCATCTGAGTTGAGGCTGGCTGACTCCATTAGGGGTGTTCTTAAAAAGAAACTGAAGGCTGCCTAAGAGACACCAACCCTGAGGTCTGGGGTTGTTTGGAAGACCAGGCATGGACCAAACCCAGAGCTTAGCTTTTCTGTAGGGGTGAGGTCTAACCTGGAGACATAGGGATGTCCAGACAGGTCACTGCTGGCGGCAGCCGCAGTCGAGCAGTGTGTGGGCGGGCAGGGAGTGGGGAGCTCAGAACGTTACCTTCCATTTGAGTCTACTCTTTTCAAAGCAGTTTTACATACCTGTATACTCTTTAATGTAGTGTTTTATTGAACGTGGAACGTTCTCAGAATTCCAGAAGTCCTTTATTGTCCCTTCTAATTATATCCTCCTTGCTCCCTGAAGAAACCAATAACCAAGTTATTTCTTATTCCTTTGGCCTGTTCGTAAGTCCTTCTAAATGGAATCACACAGTATACTCTGTCTTGGGTATGATTTCCTTCACCCAACATGATGTTTGTGAAATTTCTACCTACTGTTACTTTATAGCATTTAATTCTCACAGAAACACCAAAAGGGAGGTTAAAAGTTGGTCAGCAGCGGTGTCTGGATGGGTCAGTCACATGAGCATCTGACTCCTGGTTTCAGCTCAGGTCACGATCTCATGGTTCATGAGTTCGAGCCCCGTGTCAGGCTCTATGCTGACAGTGCAGAGCTGCTTGAGATTCTCTGTATCCCTCTCTCTTTGCCCCTCCCTGCTCATGCCCTCTCTCTCCAAAAAATAAATAAACATTAAAAAAAAAAAGAAGCGATCAGCAGTTTGCCATAGAGATAAGGAAATAACCCCAAGGAGATTAAGTGACTTCAGCAAGATCTTATAACCAGTAGCCATCCAGTAAGTTGTCTCTAGGTTAGTACCCCTGGAGAAGTATGGTTTTGTAGGGACAGGGTGGGAACTGGGTTTACTCATATCTTGACTCTCCTACTCACCAGTTTGGTGGGTTTGGGCAAGCCACTGAGCTTCTCTGAAACTTGAGTGCCTCCCTTCTGGAATGGAACCCTGACATCAGTGCCTCCCAGGCAATCAGTTGACATTTGTCACGTGGATGAACAAATGAGTTTAGTTGTCAGCAGCAAATGACATCATGCGTACAAAATCCAGTATGATGCTTGGCACTTCCGGGCCCTCATCAAAGAACAGCTATAGGTGGCCCTTAAAAGGAAGTCTCGTACAAGGGGAGGCTCCCAGCGCAAGACTAATTTTTGGATGCATCTGTTAGAATGCATTAAATATAAATCATCTGGGGATTCCCAACGTCTGAGTACTTGGTGTTATGCAGGTGATCTGAATGACCTATACACTCAGCGTCACCCACAAAGTTAAGTCTAGTGACAGCTTCTCTTATTAACCCTCTTAAAGGCACTCAAAGTGTTTCTCAGACCCCCATTTGCTCCTGGCTTTGGTGATATGTAGAAACGTGTCAGCTTTTCAAAGCTGATCTCTTCCGGACTTTTTGACATGCACATAGTGCTGGTGAATTTGCAACAACCTCTGGGACAGCATAGCTTTGCTCAGGCGGAATGTAAAAGCCATCCAGCTGGCAGACCAAGCTGAGAAATCCACGTTCATCTAAGTTAGTTTGTGCCTAAATGCTCTCTGGGGTTTTACTTATTTTTCAACTTGCTCTTGCTGTGAAAGTTCCGTCTTCGAAATGTTAAGTCACCGAGCCATAAAAAGATGTGACATGACCACAGGCAGTGTCACTTGGTGTGCGTGCTGCTAGCTGTGGGGAATTTGGGGGTGGACCCCTAAATATTGTGGCATCCTATCCTTCAATATATAATAGTTACCACTACATTTTATTGAGCCCTTAATACGTGATAGATTCCGTTAGGTACTCGCTCGGTGTTTCATTTAATCTTTACAATAAATCTCATGAGATAGGATTATCATCATCGTTTTAGAGAGAAGGAAACAGACCCAGAAGTGTTAAATAACTTTTCAAGGTCAAATAATTCCTAAGTGGCAGAGCTGGGATTGGAGCCTAGTGCTGCCTGATTTCAATGCTAGTTCTTCCCTCTGTGACTTGAAGCAGGAATGAGGAGACTCTTTAAATTTTTTTTTATTTTTAATGTTTATTTTTGAGGGGGGGGAGAGAGAGAGAGAAAGAGGGGGGGAGAGAGAGAGAGAGAGAGAGAGGCAAATGGGGGAGGGACAGAGAGAGAGGGAGACACAGAATCCAAAGAAAGCTCCAGGCTCTGAGCCATCATCACAGAGCCTGATGCGGGGGTTGAACTCATGAACTGCAAGATCATGACCTGAGCCAAAGTCAGACATTTAACCAACTGAGCCACCCAGGTGCCCCAGGAATGAGGAGACTCTAATGAAAGAAGTCTGGGATGTGGGACCCCGAAGATGAAATCTGGCTTCTAGATATGCTTGGGTCTGTGGGTTTCTCTGGAGTCCTAATGACTTAATTATTAAAGAACACAGCCTGCCATGGCTAGAGGGGAGCAGATGCTGTCACAACTGCCAAGAAGGAGGTCAAGTGCCTCGACCTTGACCCCAGTCATATCTGTTCAAAACAGGCTGCCTGCAGGCACTCTGGAGAAACAGACACAGCTTTCCAGATTTTTCCTCTACCACCAAGGTGAGGTGCACTCTCCTAATCTGTCTTGGTTCTTTATTTAGCACAACACTTCTGTTCTGCCAAAGCAGCCATTCCAAATATGAGTGCTTAAAATAATGATCATAATATAAACAAAACAGCAAACTCACCCTTAGGTAACCTCCAATAGCGAGAAAGGAAATATAAACATGTTTCTCTCCCTGAGGGTCAGGCTGTCCTGCACTGTTGAAAGTAAGAGACCTGTCTCTGTGACCCCACCCCTTGCTCATTCTCCTTTGTCTTTAGAGCCCCCTTAGAACTTCAATTTAACCTCTGTCCAAACCGGCACTTAAATCCTGAATTCACTCCTTCTTTTTATTTATTTATTAAAAAAATTTTTTTTCAGTGTTTATTTTTGAGAGACAGAGACAGACAGAGCATGAGCAGGGGAGGGGTAGAGAGAGAGGGAGACACAGAATCCAAAGCAGGCTCCAGGCTCCCAGCTGTCAGCACAGAGCCTGACGCAGGGCTTGAACCCATGAACCGTGAGATCATGACCTGAGCCAAAGTCGGACACAACCAACTGAGCCACCCAGGCGTCCCTCAGTCCTTCTTTTTATTTTTTTTTCAACTTTTTTTTTTTTTTTTAATTTATTTTTGGGACAGAGAGAGACAGAGCATGAACGGGGGAGGGGCAGAGAGAGAGGGAGACACAGAATAGGAAACAGGCTCCAGGCTCTGAGCCATCAGCCCAGAGCCCGATGCGGGGCTCGAACTCACGGACCGCGAGATCGTGACCTGGCTGAAGTCGGACGCTCAACCGACTGCGCCACCCAGGCGCCCCAAGTCCTTCTTTTTATATGCACTCCCCCACCATCATTGAAGCCATATCATCTTTTGCCAGGACTGCTTGCCCCAAGGGACCAAGCTCCATTCCGATCCCCTCCCCCACCATAATTTATTCTCCTCAAAGCAGCCAGAGGGTCATTTCAGACACAAATCACATACTGTCTGGGGCAAATTTTATTTTCCAAAGTCAGCTACCCTGGTCCATCCCACTCCAAATGTTCTTACAAGGGGATGTGGAGGTTCCTCCATGAATAGTAGAGTCTCTATTCTCTCCCTTTGATGCTGGGCAGGTTTGGGGGGCTGGCCTCCAAGGGTGGAAAACAGCAGACTTCCAAGATTAAGTTAGAAGAAGCAATACAGACTACCACTGGGCTCTTTCTCGGGATGCTGCCCTGGTAATCCAGCCGCCATATTTTGAGGAAGCTAAGCAGACACACAGAAGGGCCAGGTGTCATCCAGCTGAGGTCCCAAATCCAGGATCAGCCACCAGACATGAGTGAGCAAGTCTCAGATGACTCCACACCAAATGGTGGAGACGCCAGCCGACTTCACCAGGCCCTGCCCACATTACAGATCTCCGCCCAAGAAAGAGGTCACTGTATCAAGACACTAAGTTTAGGGGAGGTTTGTGACACAGAATTGGGAACCAGAACTCCATCACTCTTTTGCTTGAAACCCTCTAGTGTCTTCCCTGTGCCATGGGAAGAAACTCCAACATCCTTACTTGGGTCTCCAAACCTGTGTGTGATCTAGCCCCTGACAGCCCCTCCCATTTCGTCAGCCCTGTGCTCACTGCTTCTTTCTCTCCATTGAACCCACGGGGCTTGTTCTGACCTCAAGGCCTCTGTTCTTACTGTTCCTTCTGCCCAAATGCTATTCCCTGGGGATTGGCATATCTGGATTCCGTTCATAATTCAGGTTGCACTTCAAAAGTTGCTTCCTTCGCTCGTTATCAAAGACTAGCCCTTGGGTCCCTTTCAGATTAGGGGTCACACATGTTAAGGTTAGGTGGTCATTGTGGCATTTTTTTCCCCCAGCCATGTTCAGCTACAGAAAGGCAAGCATGGATGGCATAGGAGCAGAGTAGAATTTAAACAGGTTTGGGGTCTTGTCAGGTGAGTTCATGACTCCTTTGAAGGTGACTCTGCCTCAGGAATCACTACTCCACAAGGGTGCTTTTCGCCAAGACAATATGCTAATGTTGAAATAGTCACAGTCTCAAAGATGTGTTTATCAGGTGCTGTTGGACTAATTATTGGCTCACCTGCAGTCACAGAGGGAGAGAAAGAGAGAGAATACAAATTCCATGCTCTCTTCAATCATCTTCAATTCTTTATTCCTCAAAAATGCACTTATTGAGGGTCCACTACGAGCAAGCAGGCTATATTCTAGTGGGAGGAACAAATACTAAACAAAGAATAAAATAGAGTGTGTCAGCATGTGATAATATAGGAGGGAAGCGGGAGACTTGAATGAAATGTGTCAGTTAGCCATATAGCTCTGCATGGAAGAGTGTCCCAGGAAGAAGGGACAGCAAGTGCAAAGTCCCTGGTCTGTGAGCTTGGGTGGCATGTTTAAGAATTAGCAAAAAAGAGGGGCGCCTGGTTGGTTCAGTTGGATAAGCGTCCGACTTCGTCTCAGGTCATGATCTCATGGCTTGTGAGCTCAAGCCCCGCGTCAGGCTCTGTGCTGACAGCTCAGACCCTGGAACCTGCTTCTGCTTCTGTGTCTCCATCTCTGTCTCTCTTTGCCCCTGCCCCACTTGCACTCTGTCTCTCTCTCTCTCTCTCAAAATACATAGACATTAAAAAATTTTTAAAAAGAAGTGAGACATGGAAATTTCTAAAATTTATAGGGAGTATTTCCAGTGAGGTAGCAGAACAGAGTGGTATGTAGAAAAGTATAAAAATGTGCTTGGAGAGGGAGGGAGCAATCAACTGCTTGAAACACTGATGGAAGAAGATGCATGTTGAGAATTACCTGCTGCAATTGGAGATGAGAAGGTGATTGGCATCCTTGACAAGAGCTATTTCTGGGGTGGAAAAAGGATGAAACCTGGATGCCATTGGGTTAGGGAGAAGGTAGGAGAAAAGGAAATGAGGATGATGACTTTATTCTAGGATAATTTTCCTGGAAAGGGGGTGCAAAAATGGGTACAGTAGCTGAAGAGGGATGTGGGGCAAGTGAGGATTTTTTTTTTTAATATGAGAAAATATAAAATGTTTGTGCACTAATGAAGAAGAGTGAGGGAGGTTGATGATGCAAGGCAGAGAGGAAACAGCAGGTGCATCCCCAAAGGAGGAGTTGGCCAGAGAAAGGAGAAAGGAAGTCAGTCCAAAGAAACAAGAGAATGTGAGATGTTTGTGTATGTTGGCAGATAGATATGGTGATGGAAATGTATGGAAATTACTTTCTGATTGCTTTTATGATGTACAATGAAATAAGAAGCAAAGCAACTATTTGGGAGTGAAAATTAAAGAAGAAACCATGAAGATTTGGGAAGAAGGAAATAGTCAACCAGGAGAGTAGACAAATGAATGGATTAGGGAAATGCAGTGGAATTAGTGAAAACACTAAAGGTCCACTGCGGGTTAGTGGTTGAGGATCTAAAGTTAAATCAATCAGTATAACATTGACCTACATGGAATAGGTGTAATGTTGGATTTAAACAGGGCATAGGTTGCGTTGGCTGCTATGAACTGAAGTGTGTCCCCCCACAATTAGTTGCTGGAGCCCTAATCTCCAATGAGACTGTATTTGGAGAAAGGGCTTTCAGGAGATAATTAAGGTTAAATAAGGTCACAAGTGGGGATTCCAAATCTGATAGGATTAGTGGTCCTATAAAAAGAAAAAGATAGAGAGTTCCGTCTTAATGCTCATGCATGAAGAAAAGGCCATAGGAGCACACACTGAGATGGCAGCTGTCTGGAAGCCAGGAAGAAAGCTCTCACCAAGAATTAAATTTGCTGGCACCTTAGTCTTGAACTCCCCAGCCTCCAGAACTGTGAGAAATAGATTTCTGTTGTTTAAGTCACCCAGACTATTGTATTTGTTATGGTAGCCTGAGCTAAAACATCAGGTGAGTATGATAAAGGAAAGAGAGCCAAGGGAGTTGAGGGTTGTGTGCAAGAGAATGGTTATGACCACAGACCATGGAAACGAGATTAGGCGAGAAAGGAAGTAATAATGATGTGGGATGAAGGGCAGTACAACTGTTTAATATGATAAAGTTAATGACTGTAGATCTAAATTGATCTAAGAGTCCAGAGAGTGGGGTACTTGAGGGGGTAAAGTGGAAAGATAGGAGGTAATGGTCAGAAAGTGGGATGTTTTCTGTAAGATCGTAGGGGTGGTACTGTAATTGATGATGACAAAGTCTAGGGTGTGATCAAGGAAATGGAAAACTGGTTATTTGAGGACAAAAGTTGAGAAACTAAAACTCTGGAGTGTTAGAAAGATGGTCTTCGTTAATATTGGAATAATCAGGGATTACAGTAACTGTTGGAATTATACTAACAGTTGCAGTGAGTGGCCATAAGCTCAGTGCTTACATCTTCAAAGAATGAAAAACAGTACCTGAGAAGAGCATTTGAAGTGATTTCAAGATGGTGGGTAGTAAATAGTGGAGTCTGAAGGGTGGTCTTCAAAACTGTGGGTTGTTAGGGAGAGGGAAGAATAGTAAAGTGTCAATGAGGACTAACGATATATATTATATCTTCCTTAGAGGAAGTCTTTATCTGTCTATTTATGATCTATCAATCATCTATCTATCTATCTATCTATCTCCCTAACTATATCTATCTATGTATCTATCATCTATCTATCAATCTTCTATCTATTATCTATCTCTCTACTATCTATATTTATCTATCATCTAACTATCCATCTATGTACTGTCTGTCTATCTATCTATCTATCTATCTATCTATCATCTAGCTCCCTATCTATATCTATCTATGTATCTAACTATCATCTATCAGTCTACTATCTATTATCTATCTCTCTACTATCTATCTATTATCTATCATCGATCTCTCTATCTGTCATCTATCTATCCATCTATCTACTGTCTATCTATCTCCATATCTATCTCGCTATCTATCGATATCTATTTATCTATCTATCTCCTATGTAATCTATCTCCTATCTATCTATCTACCACCTATCTAAGGAGGATATATAGATATCCTTAGATATATCCAAGGATGGATATAGGAGATAGATAGATAGATAGATAGATAGATAGATAGATCTCCCACCACCAGTCTGCAGAGTAGAGGGAAGAGGAAAGAAAGCAGCCACTACTTGAGAGATCTGTAGAGAAATTAGAGTCCACAGAGAACTAAGTTTCTTTTGGACAAAGATGAAGGGCACATTACAGGAGAGGCTGGTGATGAGGAAGACTTTGCTAATGGCTGCCCATAATTCTCGAAGCACAGAGGAAGGGGCCAGGAGCTGTGGGGTGGCAATGGGGTTAGATTAGGGCATGTGTTGATCTTTATAGGTATTAGAGTCAATGTAATGGAGAAGTGGGAGTTGGGACTTCCGATAGCTGACATAGAATGAGAAAAGGGGATTCTTGAATTAGTCACAAAATCCTTGGCATCTGTGTTTGACTCTGCTCCCAAACCCATTCCCTGCCCTTCTTTGCCCTTCTCTGAAGCCTACTTTCCTTGCAGTTGAAACATTTAGGCTACTTTTTCCTTTGACTACCAGTTTTCCCTGGCTAGTGGGAAGCTCTAGCAGGAGATCAGAAGGCTAAAGGAGAGAGAGGAAACAGTATGAAACAGTATTTTTTCTTTGCTTCCTCCCTGCCTCCTAGCAATCGTGGCAATGGTTACCTTCTTCTGAGTGCCAGCTCTGTAGGCAGCCCCTCTTCTATGGCTCTATCTCATGCTGATCAAGAGCCAGTGACTCTTCTGCCTGTGCTGATCCCTTGGTAATCACCATCTTTGTTGGTTCTCACATCTCTGCCCATACCTCATCCAGCGAACCCTTCATCAGCTCCTCAGTTGAGTGACCCATTGGTTCATGCCTGGTCCCTGGTGGTCTTACCTGCCGACAGGTGCACCTGTTCCCATATGTCCAGGTGTGCCCAGGACAGTTCTGGCTTACATGATTTGTACTAGTGTAATTATTAATAGCATCCCTTTCACTCCCCAAAGTATTCCAGTTTTGATTAATTATATAGTCACCCTACCTCTGATCCCCTGGTTCTGTTTGCTATGCCTGTAAATCAATCTCTCCAGATGGCCTTCTCTCTGGCTGGAGTCTTCTTAATCTCTTACAGTCTTTCCTGTGAACTGAGAGGCTGGATATCTAGGAAAGGGAGGAGGGAGAGGGAGAGCCCAGCTTGGTCTTTATTTTCATTCCTCCAACACAGCAGGCTAAAAGCAGATGAGAGAGCACAGCTCGTCTTGTTTATGATTTACGTTTTTCCATGATTAATCATGTATAATGAAGAGATACTTCCCTAGGGTCACTGGCTCATTAGCTTCTTACCCTCCCTTATTTTGGAGACCTATACCATCAACCTGAATAGCAGAGCCCAGGTGAATTGAAAAATATCAAGTGGCTTTGCTATGTTGGGCAAGCCAAGCTAAGCTCTCTTGGCCTTGATTTCCTCCTTTGCAAATGGGAGGATTAACAGCACCTAACAGGGTAACTAGGATTGAATGAGTTGATACATAAAGAGGTGCAATAGTGCTGACACATAGGGAGCACTATGCACTTGTATCTTTTACACACACACGCATGCACACACACACACACACACACACACACACACACACACACACTGATGGGGAGAGGTGTGTATGAGGGATGGGGATGAACACTCAGGTGGAGGAGAAAGTGGCTCTTCCTTCCTGAGGAACACAGCACCGGGGCACTGATGCATATTAGGTTACAGATCACTGTGGTTTCTTGAAACAAGGGGCTATTTCCTGTATGGAGAGGGTAGGTGTTTCCAGAAGGGAGAAAAGGAAACTTGTGCCTGCTTGCGTTCAAGCCTCTTCAGAGAAATCCAACTTTCATCTCCCAGAGACCAGCCACTCTGGAAAATGTGGACGTAGTTTTAGTTTTCACCCATGCTAACAAAATGAAAGAAATCAGCATTTATTTTTGTGGTCTGACACAAATTCTGGGCAAGGGGTGTGGAAAGAGATGTATCAGTCTGGGTCTAACCAGAAGACAGACATCACGAAGTAATTTAGATAGAGCACGTATAATATAAGTGATCATTCAGCTATGACAGCAGAGTAACTATAAAGATGGCGGGGGCTGGGAGGAAATGTCTAAAGGATACCCTGGGGCTAGGGGGAATGCTCTAAGAAGGACAAATTTAGAAGAGGTTCTCATCTCATTGGAGAAGCTGTGGTTGCAGGCCAGTGGGTGGCCAAAGAGCTCGCTGGCTTGCAGGAGCCCCAGCTGGCGCACCCGTCAATGGGTGAACAGAAGTGGCTCCCAGGTCAAGGCTGGTGGGTGGGCATGGAGACGGGGTCAGGACCCTACTGGGGGTGCTTGGCCCAGAGTGCAGGGTGTCCATATCAGGAGGACAAGAAACAACACGCGCAGGGCTAGTGGGTGTGAATGCAAAAGGAATCAACAGGGGCGCTGCTATGGAGGGGGGCTGGAGAGCCCTCTCTACAGAAACCTAAAACACCTCCGCATATGGCTTAGGCTGGTCCGGATTCAGGTGGGGCCATGGGCTCCCAGGAAGGGGAATTCTGGAGGCATTAGGAAACAGATGTCATTCTCCTATTTCTCTATTAGATGAACTATCCCAATTCCTGACAACTCTTCCTTCTACAGCATTTATTCCTGATCACATTGACAGAAAACTCTCCTTAGCTATTGTCTGTTGTGGTGTTCCATTTTTTTTTCTTTATGGTATCATTTATTTTTTCTTAATATGAACTTTATTGTCAAATTGGTTTCCATACAACACATACAACACCCAGGGTTCCTCCCGACAGGTGCCCTCCTCAATGCCCATCACCCACCCTCCCCTCCCTCCCACCCCCCATCAACCCTCAGTTTATTCTCAGTTTTAAGAGTCTCTTATGGTTTGGCTTCCTCCCTCTCTAACTTTTGTTGTGGTATTCCAGATGTAATCATACCGGTAAAGAATAGCCAAAACAAACAAACAAACAAACAAGCAAACTTCCTGTGCTGATGTAGAAGAGTTTCAGGGAATTTCTGCTAGCTTTTCTAGCAACTGTACGAAGGTTGTGTTTAAGTGAATGCATTGTGCCCCCAGCAATAATCACTTGCATGCAGATATAACTCACCTTAGCTATAACTCAAGCTATCAGAAAATATACTTTGCGTTTGTATAATCACTATGTTAAAGACTTGGATTTCTTTATTCTGAGGTATTCTGAGGTAGCATTTCTTTGAGCGACATCCATTTTCTGTCTCATTAGCGGGAGGGGTCGTTAGATAATCTTCTGATGGTGTGGGGTAGATCTGTTTCCTGAAACTATTCTCCTGGGATAAACAGATACTTGTCATTTTGTTTGCTGGGGTGTCTCTAACTCTCAAAATGACTGATGGGCCATAATGTTATTCCATGGGGATGAAGAACATTGGCTGTGGGGTTGGCTTTTGGTTTCCTTAGCAACTCTCTCCTAGGGGCACCATAGCAGCCACGTTTATTCAAAGTCGGGATTCTAACAACAACAAAAACTGACAGTATTTCAATTGAGATTTTATACACCTAAATTAACTTTGCTCAAGAGAGATACGTTTTGCATTGCTATCATTTTTTTTAGTTTGTGTGCTATTTCTCATTAGAATAGCAAATTCCACCCTCAGAGGAGAGTTGGCTGGGAGGGGAGAGAGCTGGGGGGTAGAGATTAGAGAGGCTTAATAACCTGAATCCCAAAGAGGAAGTGGTTTTCTCTTAGCTCCACTTTCCCATATAGCCCTGAGGGGATCTAATTTAGAATCCAAGCAAGCCCCGTCAAATACATGGTCTCCTTAGTACCGTGTTATTCAATCCAAGTAGAAATAACTTAGTTTTTCCCATTGTTTTTACAGAAAAGCTGGTCTCTGTGTGAGATTTATTACCATTTC